ATGCATCCTAGGTTCATATATGACATTCCAAGTGTCAAGAAATACCGGAGAAGGTGGATGATGGACTTATTAGATCTCGAGGTTTACTGTATTGCATGCACTCGCAGCACATAGTTTAAGCTCGGCAGATATTTTTCCCGGGCTTCACATAGCATCAGCTGGTTCAGGAACATAAATTCTGACGTGGAATACATCGAAGCGTCGAGGGAGTGTGAAAATGGTGAGAACCGAATCAGCGGGCAGGGTAGTTCAAGAAACCATATGCAAGTGCACTGTGAATTATGATCCACCATACATATGGACATCGGAGGTACAGCAGACACTGGTGGATACTCCAGCTTTGATATCAGACCAAGCGGGCCTGCAGGGAAAGCAGGTAGCGCGAACGCAAGAATTAGGCGCTCGCGGGCGCTTAATTAGCGACGCCGAAAAGTGCAGCGCATCGGCGAAAATGGTTGATTGGAGCCGAGAAAAGTCGTGAAATAAGTATTGTGAAGGCGTTCAAGTATCAAAGAACATTCAATTGACGTACAAAATACAGACAGGACGGGCACTAACCTAAAATCAAGAGAGCAAGAAATAAAATAGAACTCGGGGAACTGAATGACGAGAGGCGTTCTGGAAGGCGGAAGGCGTGCAAAGAACGGGAAACGGGGGTTACCAGGTGGAGAGGCGGTGACAGGGTAGCAGAACAGAGTGCCATTGTCAAGCTAGGTGGGCGGCACGAGATCGGCCGGCGGAGGGTAAAAGGAGGAGTATCCCAGAAGATGGAATGAGTGTAATTGATTGTGAAGGAAAATATTTGCACTATTTATGACACCCCGCCGGCAATGGGGTGCGCAAGAGCGGCACAAACGGCGGGGAGGGCGGGATACTAAAACATGCCTCAGGCTGTGAGCAGAGGATATCAGAAGTCGAATCTGGATGGCAAGGCAAGGTCTGAAGGTCCTCTATCCTCGGACTATGCTGCGCAGGCGGGTGGGCATGCAAAGGCGGTCGAAACGGCGGGGAGGTCGGGGGGGCCAATAATCATAATCGCGTGCCCGGCGCGACGACGCAATGGAATCGAATGACTTTCTGCTAAGCAGGAAGAGGAGCGATTCGCATCTGCTCCGCCCTTTCTCGGGTGCGCAAGGATGGCGCAAACGGCGGGAGGGCGGAAGCGATCATATGATCGGATATTCATGGCGCCAGGCGAGTATAGGGTATGCGTGAACCAGAATTGGATCCACAGAGAGGGGAAAGGGAGGTCGAGTCAACTGGGACCACCCGCCTCCTCTAGAGGGCCCAGGAATGGTGGAAACGGCCGGTGCAGCGGGGCCACTAAAATCAGCGGCACAGGGTAAGAAGAGAGCGCAGGGCGATCAATGCGCTATAAACGGATACGTACCAATCAGCCCGAGTCACCAACAACATCCTGCCCGCTCGTGAGCATCCTGGAGCGCCAGAATTGACTGGGACGGCGAATACGCTAAAAGCCGCAGCACGGAGCAAAGCGTGGGGTTATGGGGACAAATGGGGTATCCATCGGTAGGGCACATCATTATTAAGAGAAAAGTTGCATACCGCCAGCAGTAGGGCACGCAGGGGTGTGCAAATTGTGGCGGCAAGCGAGGACGCGGAACCGGAAACGCGGAGCAAATGGCTGCTGAGGGAGCGGAAAACAGGGGCCGTGTATGAGGGTTAGGATTCTGTTGGATTACCGTCGCACCTCGAGTGCGAACGAAGGGGCGGGGAGGGGGAACGATGGTGCAGCGGGATCGGAAGACGAAGAGAAGTAATCATAACACATGTACACACGCCGCCATCACGCACCGAGCACTGCCACCCGCCAGCAGCAAAGCGCGCGCCGCGCGTCCGTGTTGCCGCGCGGACGAACATCCAGATTCGGATAAGGATTCGGATCTACCACCAGATATAGGTCAGCCTCTAAGCTGATATATCACACACATCTGTGAATCACAGGCAATGATACATCATCACCCATCTCTCACCACAGTGGTATGATATATGACATGGATTGGGCCTCTGCGAGGCAGGAGGCTGAACCTTCGGGGCCGCATTTTTTCACAGCAACCCCCAAATGAAGGTGGTCATGGTAGGACTACGATGAGATGTTTCCCATAGATTCAGTACTTGGCTTCTACAACAAATCTATTGACAGAATATAGGTAGGTAGGTAGGTAAAGGATCACCGTGAGGACGGTAGGTAGCAAAGACGGCAGAGCATCCAGAGAAAATGATATTGCAGGCTGAGACAGCTTGTATTAGACAATTGCCATGGGCAAATGGATGATGGTGATATGTGCGGGAAGTCAAATGTATTGACTATCGAGACGAGGGTCACAATTATAAAAGTCGACAAATTTTGAGGTTGGTTGGTGCAACAGGATTGCCTAAAGAACGAGTCTAAAAAGGATATTTTAGGACTCGTAATGAAGTCGATAATACCAGATTAACCCTAACATAGTGGTCAATAAAATGTATATATAATTAGCATGAATACCGTACACCGTCGAACGGTCTTGGTTGCGTCAATAGATGTGTCACCTCGCATCAGACTGTAGAGTGATCTGAACTGCTAGCCCAGGTATGTCCTTTCTTTTGCGGATTCAGGCTCGGTGGACTGAGGCTCCCCGCGGTGCTGGGAAACGGTGTGTGTCATTTTCGAGTACCAAGGAGAAGCATGCACAGCTGGATTTCGACACCTGTCAGCGACGGCGGGCTTAATCCAGCCAGCAGAGCTTCAGACTTCAATACGAGGCATGCTTCTGTACATTGGTGAGTGAGAAACTCTGAGCGTAAAACATCAGCACTCTTCCTCGTTCCACCAGACAGTCGTGAAGACAAGCCATTATGGCGAGCAGTCATCTTCCTCAAAGCAAGAACATCAATTTGATGTTTGACTATGAGAAAATGAACGACCGCAATTTTATCTTCCGAAGCCAGACGAACAAAAGGATCATGTTCGTTCAATATCAAGTCTGCATTCATATTGAGAATTTTGCCCCGCGGACGCGGTGCTACTGGTGAACCAGGTCGAACATCCTGGTCGGATATTCTATCTCGCGTACGAGGTCCACCCGTGGGTGCCGGCACTGATAACACCGAGAAACGCACTGGGCTCGCTTGGAATTGTGGGAAGACTGATGATACAGAGGTAAGCTTGAGATACAAGCGTTCAAAGGTAACACACCTATGGATGATCCTGGTGTCCGAAAATCCAGTGGGCCGCTGCTGAGATGTACAACCACCCGCTGTGCCGATTTGCGCATGAGTGGGACCCAGTCCAAGCCAAGAACCAGATCACAAGGCAAAGAAGCCACCACGGTGACATCGGACAAAAGGATAGAGATTCCACCCGTATTGCAAGGAAGCGTGAGCCGCCCAGAGAGCCGGGAGCCGCGCGTCGGAACCCCAGAATTGATCACCCAGTCCTGGGAAACATGAGAACTTGTAGCATGGCTGTCAAATTGAGTGGACACGACTGTGTCACAGAAGGTAGCGGGGGACGACATGGGGAGACTTGTCGGGCATCGAAGAAAGTGACGCATACAAGACGCATATCAATCACATGCCGGCGGCCCGTGTGGGGCCCGGCGGATGACAAAGCGGAAATGAGTAAAGAACAAACGCAAGCAACGAAAATACTTTATCTACTGTCAAAGTCCTGAACCCAGACCAGCCAAAAAAAATTCAGGAAACCTAGGAGAAGCAGCATACATCATTACATAACTTCAAGTAGGACACAAGTACCAGTAGTTCTGTGTTTTCAGTGATGACCAATTTATATGATGAAATGCTGTGTTGGCCGAAACCCAAGTTCTCCAGGTTAGCTAAACCTCCGGTTCAGCCAATCATATGTACTGTTTCCACTGCATGCCCTGCCTACCTTCGTCGATCCCGTAGTCCTACCTCGACCCTTGGTCTATGGACTCCGCCCCGACTGCATCCCGGGAGAGCTGCTGTCCAACGGAATGCAAGATATACTGTATAAGCCAGGAGCCTTCGATTTATTGACTCACAGTTTAATTACTTACCTCCGGGCCCGCTGAATCAGCTTTAAAAGCTTTCCAGCGCTGCGACAAACTTTGAAGACGTACCTTACTCGCGGAGTAAAAGAACACGCAAGCAAGCCTTCGTAGATCACGTCATCATTTCGACTCTGGCTTTGGGACGTATAACGATTTAAACGAGGCGGTGGAGGTTTGATTCCTCCCGAGGGCATAGAATTTCTTCCTTTCCTTTTTTCTTCTTCTGGACTTCGAGGAAGCCGCCGGAACGGAAGGGGTAAACGGCGCGCCATAAGCCTCTGCTTTGCGAGCTAACCTGATAGACCTCGTGCCCTCTCTATCCGGCAGCTCAAGGTCTCTTCGCAATGTGCGAAGGCACATTAATAAACTGTGGAACAAAAGGCAGTTGAAGAGCTTTTGTGGATAATGAGGATCGCCCCTTGACCGTGATGCGGCGGAGTATTATGAAGAGGGGAGTTGGAGGTTCGAATCCTGCCGAAAGCACCCTCCTATCTTTTTGGCCGCGGCGGGCTGGATATTTCGAGACTCACTTGGCAAGGTACAAAACACACCCGGAAAGCCTTCGTGCATCATGGTGATCACCCCGTCTCCATAAATGTCCCACCTCTTGAACAAGATGCATAAAGCGGGGAGGCGGAGGTTCGACTCCTCCCGGAGGCATGTCCCACTCCCGGCCTCCACAAGTTTTTTTGGCATCCGATCAGGCCCCATTGTATGGCACTTAGCAAGATATGGAATATACCTAGGATGCCTTCGTAGATGTAGATCACGGAGATCACCTCGCTGCTGTAAAGATGAGAGCTGTGGAAGAGGGGAGGTGGAGGTTCGAATCCTCCCGGAGGCGCAGTCACTCATCCCACGGTTTTTTTAGACCCGAAACCAAGCTCGCTTCAAGCGTCAACCATTTTTTGGCCAATCCAGGCCCTATTTTATGGCACTTACCAAGGTACGAAACAGAGTACATGAGCCTTTGTGGATCACGGTGATCACCTCGACTATCTCCCACTGGAACGTGTAGCCATTTAAGCGAGGAGGTGGAGGTTCGAATCCTCCCGAAGGCATTTGCTAGCGCAAACCTATTTTTAGAGGAAGATTCAGGTCTTCTTCCAGGCACATCTACCCCGGAGCCAAACATCCCGGAAAATTTTCCGTACGTCATGGCGATCATCCCGATTCTGTGCTTTTGAATCAACAGGACGACTCGATTCCTCCCCTAGGCATCCGATACGGAGTATCAAGAATATTTGAGCCAGCACGTAGCCAAACAGCCTGAGTAGTGGCAGATCAAATCTTTCGATGCACATTTGGCAAGGGACCAAATGGAATTAAACAGCCTTCGTAGATCACGGTGATCACCTTGACTGTCTCCCACTGGAAACTGTATCCATTTAAGCGAGGAGGTAGCGGTTCGAATCCTCCCGAAGGCATCAGTAGAGCACAGACCATTTTGGCTGTTTTTCTGGCAGGGTTAGGCGGATTTGTTGAGGGACAGAGTGGAGTCGATAAGCCTTCGTAGATTATGGTGATCATCCCGACTGCTTGAAATTTAGGGTGGCTCCTGGTGCGGCCAGGCGGAGGTTCGATTCCTCCCGAAGGCATCTAGACTCCACCCTTTTCTTTGGGAGAAGTGGACACAGTACATCTACTGTAAATCGGTCTGAAACGAGGTTCGACTCACCAACTGCCGTATTGGAGCGCATATTATTGACAGGCAACCAACGGCCAACGTGAGGGTGGGGCCAAGAATATTATTAATCAGAAGTGAACCTGGATGTCCGTGCCTGATGTTGAGGCGGCTCACGACTCGGCTCCTCGGCTCTTTGCGGTGCTGATCTGATCTGAGATCTGATTGATCGTCTGTAACCCTAACCCTTCCCCCCTTCGTTATCATCAACGCTTATACAAACCACTTCTGTACACGCGTCGAGCATCAAGTACTGTACTACACAACACGTCGAGTCCGATGTCGCACGCCCACGCGCCGACACCCCGCCCGCGAAACACCGCCGCTCGCCGTACGCCGAGTGCCCCCGCTTCCGCGCATCGCCGCCGCGTCTCTTCTAACCCTACGGCCGACCCCCCTACGCGTACAGAGATGCTGTGCTATGGTCATGTGCAGACCGCGTCCGGTGGCACTGCTTCAACTGCTGCACCACCGAGATGAGCATATTTGAGTCCGGAGAAGGTAGTGCGTCTCCCTGTTCTCTCTTCTCCGAGCAGTTCCTGCACAAGTGCGGCCCGCTCATGAGCTCCACGCTTAGTGCGCGGATGCAGGCGGAGTAGATGCGTTTGTTCTCCTTCTCCTCGTCCTCTCCTTCTATCCCTTTCCTTGCGTTTTCGCTCCTTCTCGCTGGCGCATTTTCCGAGCCACGCCACTCCCTCGTGTTTACCCTTTCCCACGAGCGAACACGGACCATGCGCGGCACCTCCCGCGCGGCGAAGTCCCGCTGGAAGAACGTAGCGTGCAGATGAGCGCTCACGAGCGCAGGCGCTCAGCGGGTATGTACAGAGGACTGCGAGCGCGGTGCCCGTAGTGGTACAGAAGCCGATGGGCGACCGCGAGTATCGAGTATTAATTGATATTACGCTTGTCGGGTGTCGTCGGCTTCGAGCTTGATATGAGCTCCTCCCCCCCCCCCCCCCCCCCAGCTTTCTCCTCCCGCCTTCCGCTCCTTCCCTGAACTGTTCAACTGACCGTCCCCGCAGTCGCAGTCAACTTAGAGCTACGGCCCTCCCTCCGCCTCCGTGTCGGCGCCCCCTGCGCACCAGTCGCAAGCGCGGACTTACATCGTGCCGCTCTCGCAGCCTGAATCTCAGCACGACGGAAGCGCGACGCAGAACGGAGCCCAGAAGAACGGTGCCCCTGGCGCGCAAAATATGGAGGGCACCCCACGCAAAATGGCAATGCAGGTAGCGCGAGCTACCCACGTACCCCGACGCCGCAGCACACGAGTGCCCCGCACTCTGGTATTCATACGGAAATGCGAGCGGTCACGAATCGCCCCACTCGCCTTCGCTCCAGGATCGCGAACGCCAACGCAATGACAGGCGAGAGGAGCACCCCGAGAATAGATGCGAGCATGATAGAAGGGAGGAGACGAAGGAGGAGCGGCGGGGGGTGCGTAGCTGCGCGCCAGTCGCGCTTCACCCGTACTTGTTTCTCACCTGCCCCTACTTTCGACGCGCGGAACTCGCCCCGCACCCTCTTTCCTTATTTCATGCATTCTTCGCTTTTCCCTTGCCCTCTCGCCCCCCTCCGCTCCATCAGTCCTGTCAATCCCCTGCCCTCAGTCCTATCGATCCCCCACCCTCGTCTCCGTCCGTCTTCGCTACTTGTCTCCTAGTATCATCACGATGCTCTCCCTCTCGAATCTCGTGTTTCCTTCGCCACGCTGCATTACTTCTCTCAGATTGTGCTCGCTCGTCTCTCCCCTGTTTACTCGATAGCTCGTATCCCCGTTTACCTCTCGAATGTCGGCTCTGTCCGTTTCTCTGGTTCCGCCCCTCTTCCTCCCTTCCTCCTCGCTCCCCTCGTTCTCGCTCCCAGTACCACCCCGGGCAAAATCGCGAACGACTTGTGCAAAATCGATATCGCGAATACTTTGGATAATACAGTGCATGAACCCACGAAATCCTAGTACTGAACAGTTGAACCGCGGCCTTGTGCGCAACTCGCCTTCCGAGTACCAAACCGTTCTCGAGCTCCTCGCGACGTGAATCCATTTCTCCGGCCTATTCAAGCCTCGTATCCTGTACACTCCTCCGTCGGGGTCGTTCAATCTAGGCCGCATCTCTCTTCAATTGCCACTGGACCCTCAATCCAATCCTCATTCGATCTCATCTTGTTCGACGCTCACCCACCTGTGGTGCTCGTTCTTAAATTCATCCTCCGGGCGACCAGGCTCTGAAGCGCTTGATTCATCGTCCTCGAGTTTACCGACCTAGGATCTTTCTGCTGTGCATCTGCGTTGGTGATACCAGTAGCGTTGAAATCAACACTCCGCTAGTGTGGGTTTACTTCCCGCCCGGCCCACTCCTCATCCTCATCCGTACCCTCGTTTTCATCCCCGTTCCGGCCCTCATCTGTATCCAAGGGTGGTGCATCCATTCATTTCTGCTGGAAGTGGCAACAGAAGCTGATAATTATCCCGCGAGACTCCCTGCACAACTTGGACGTCCGGCCAACTCGGTGATATTGGGGTATATTATTTTTCGATCCATGGTGCATCATTATATGTTGGCGGGGACGACGCCTCTCTGATGTATGCATGGGACGGATGTTTCATTTTCATTTTATATTTCCTTCAACCTCAGGCTGATGCCGTCCGCGCACGCGGCCCTCTCCTGTCGTCTGCCAACCTTGAGATCCCCAACGCACCATCCGCGCTGTTCCCCGTCCCCTTTCATAGTGTCAACCTCCAACCACCCGTGCTTCTCATCGGGGCTGCGTGGGTTGGAGATTTTTTTCTTGCAATATCGGAGTATGCACAACCGTAATTTGGAGCCCTCTTTGCCAAGAGATATGATGACAGCCGACAGCCGACTCTAATACACAACAGGGTCCATAATAAAATTTCAACCCCCTAATGGGGAGGCCTCCTTGAGCAAGATTCCGGATATATTGATAGGCCAGCGGCCAGAGGAAACGTTTAATCCGTACCAATTCTTCATACTTAGTAGACAAGATGTGTTCAAACGGTCTCAACGGAGGATTCATCCTCAAACTTCCACGGTAGGCCTCCGGCTACTTCAAAAATATTGAAGCAAGCAGCTATCAGATGCTGCCAATCAATACTGAAAGCACGGTTCACATAGCGTAGTGAGCAAGGTTCAGAAATAGGTCAAGAGCAATATACAGGGAAGGGACATCGGGAGGCCACCGGGCACCGATAGTGGCTACCCAAAATAAGACAACGATTGGAGGACATAATAAAAGTCAGGGTCTCCCTCCGCGGAGGCGACCTCTTAGGTACCTAAGAGGTCTAACACGTGACCGAGACGGTGACCCCTTAGGTCAGAAGCCCAGCACAAGCCAATGCTTCCTCTCCGGGGCAGCGCAAAAGGCCTCCATATTTATACATCTGCCGCTGTAAAAAAAAAATGTGAAGGCCAGACACCTAGTCTAGTCATGCATATGTCTAGCACGGTTAAAATAATTTTAAACATGCCACATGGCAGCGTGAAGCACTCGAAAAATTTGAGAAGGCCCCCCAATGGGGAACCCGAAAACTCAACATTGTTCGTCTATCACACAACGGTCAAATGTAACACGTCGGAAGCATGTACATCAGGAAGGCAATGAACATGAATCCCAACACAAGGTTGAACATCTATATATCTATATAAGAATCAAATGTTTGTCTCTGACCACACGAATGTTCAATTCTCCACCCAACTGTGGGATTGCTATTTATAAACTGCTGAGATGTTGAATACTTCCTCTCCGACAGTCTGGGATCCCCTGGGATCGCACCGAGCTTCCACTGATCAAAGGGACCATGATGAGTTGAATGAAGGAAGCATCGGGGTCTCAATTTATGAGTAGCATTTGCGGAGGGATGGGGACCAGAGGACTGTAAGATGAAGGCGGTGATACGTGGGGATTGAAGTCATCTTTGCACGTCTCCGCTTGCTGTCATGGGTGTCCGCCAGCAAAATGGGCCAGGTTATTTCATGGGGAGTCGGACAAGGGCCATGTGAAGATGAAAACTGGGGAAGGTGAAGGCAACCACAATAATTTTGCATAATCATTTGTAGGATGAATTTTATGGGTGTGCGGCCCAAGATGTCTCGAGATCTTGAATTGGCTGGAATGATGATAAATTGGACAGATAAAGTCACAATGTCTGGGTTGAGAGGATGAAATATGTCGAAGACCATGAGACATGTTCCAAGATGAAGTCTACTGCCAGTGGCCATTGGATGAAGGTGAGCTTGAAGGCAGAAGTAGATTCTTCTTTGCCAGTCCAACTGTTTAGTTGGTTCCAATTAGCTATTCCATTATGTCTGGGGACACCGTGAGAGATGTTGAATTCTAATCTCTATTTGGTGAAACTCATGA